AGTATTTGCTCTAGCACATATATATGCATCCATCCATCAACTTATCTTGTTTTGGTGCATTTCAGAGTAAACTGCAATCATTACTACTCCTCTGCAGTAAATAAAACTATTGGTTTTTAACTTCTGTTTTTGAATATTTAGCAGGCTGGGCTGTGTCAGCTACGTACATAGACTATGGAGATCAAAGAGAAGCCTGTGGCTTTTCTGTAGTTGGTTTATCTTCCCAATCCCTCCTCCCAGGTATTTGAACATTGACTCTTTAATTATAGCAGTACCCAGCCTATGCACTTGAGTTCCTAGAAAGTGGAAAAGGGAATTTTTACAAATCCAATTATCTTCTAAACTCTAGCATTTAAGATAAAAAAAGACCCCTGCAGGTAGTGTAGGAGAGAGAGAGAGAGAGAGAGAGAGAGAGAGAGAGGAGAAGAGAGAGAGAAATCCCCCCCTAGAGATATAAGCAATTTAGCTTATATTTACATTCAGGGTTGCCATATTTCAGATTGAAAGCAAAATTGCACCTTTAATAACACAGGAACTATGGAGAATATACTAGTAGATGGTTGGAGGCAGAAACTACAGTAAGAGAAAGTGCTAAGGAGTGAGGTAAAAGTTTTTAGCTGGCAAAAGGACAGTATTATGAAAAGCAGAGATTGTGTTACAAGGATTTACAAAACAACTATTACTGCATGTAGTTTTCAGGCTTAAGGAACATGATCCACAGTATAATGACAAGCCTGGTAAAATAACATTCTATTAAGGTTGGTTTTGCCTTTGTTTTCATGTCTGTTGTATTTACGTTTAAGTTTTAATTGATGTTTTGACCATGTGTTTGGCCCTGAGGAGATTGTGAAGGCTTTCATTTTTAAAATAAATTAAAAAGTGACATGTTTAATATACACTAAGCAAAAATACCCTCCTTAACATACCCAGAAATGAGATCTTGTTGGTGCAATAAAACTTGATTTAAAACTTTCTACCCATGAGCACCATAAACTGAAGACATTATCCTAGAGACTTGGGGAAAGGACATCAGTTTGGGAAGAGGCAATGGAAGAAATTAATTCTCAGATCCAAGTGTTGCCTGAATAGGGGGAAGGAAGAAGACAGATGCAAACATGAAGTGGGCAACATGTAAGTTCATTAGAAACAGCAATGAATGAGAAAGTCTCCCAATGACCAGTCCCAGAAGGTACAAGCTGTTTTGTTTATCTTAGTCAACTCAACCCAACAGCTAGTTCAATAAGAAAATGAAATAGAGGAAAGAGTCAGAGATCATATTTCAAATGTTACCTGATATTTAAAGTGTGGAGGCTCCCTGAATTTTTGCCACTGGAGAAAATTAAGTGCTCTTGTTCCCCTAAGAATCTTAGAGATAAGCGTGTGACCATCCTAGCCTATTGATTCAGTACTGGAGCCTGTATGACAATGATGAGCTGTCGGCTCCATGGGTTATCTCAGTGATTAAGCCTGGCCTCTTGCACAAGAGCCAGGCAAATGCATCCTATTGTAAGTTTAGCTTCATATACCGGAAAGCTGTTTATAGCAGCTACTTACCTACTGGTATGAGTTGAGTCAAAGTAAGTGCTCATTATTTTCCATGTTGCCACTCCTGTAACCTTGTAAGAATTTTCTATGGGCTGGTAAATTTTAGTACTTATCTACAAAGCTATTTTGCAACCAGGGACTCTAAATGGCAATTATTATACTAATGCTTAAATCAATATTTCATGCTTATAGTTCTGTCTCTAATATATCCAAATGGAAGCAGGCATTACACCAAGGACGGGAGAAAAGACATACTTTAGTAAAGAAGGATGGGAAAAGAACAACACTGTCCTTTGAACCGATGCTTTTAAAATGAGATATTTAAAGAAAAATCTACCAAAATGATGTCTTATTTGACAAGGAAAGATAGCTTCCTCCATCCTCTCTGTTTACACATACTATTGTTTCAGCCCATGGTGTTTTGTTTACTTTGGAAAGAAATATTTTACCCCCTCTGAGATAATTAATTTTTGTCAGCTTCACTGTTTAGAAGGGAAACTGAGAAACTGTTAATTGAAATACAGAATGAGTCACTGTTTTCAGCAATTTTTGGCAGCATTCTAATTTGTGTCAATCCCAGCCTAATTATTAGATTCTTTTGGAAGTAGAAAGCATATTTGATTTTTCTCTTACTGAATTGTTTCTTCCTCTTTAAAAAAAATATGCTGCCTGACAAAGGTTATGTAATTTATATCAACATGAGGTGACATACCAGTACATTTGAAATACCACAAGGTTTAGTGCGTCATGCTTGGCTCTTCACAGTAGCTAAATATTTAGAAAGCTCACAGAATGTGGTCTTCCTCCTCCCCTCATTTCTACTCCCTCATTTCTACCCCCAGCCCAGCCAAAAACTGTGGTTCTTTTAAGGACCTTTTAGTAGGTATTAAGCCACAGTATATGGCCCATCACTAATGACATCACTGAAGTAAGCTTCCCAGAGTCATCAGGGAGAATTCACTTGGAAATTCAATTGAATGTCACTTGCAAAGGGCAGGCCCCTTGAAGAGGTGACCAGTCATGCATCCCTGAGTTATCTGTTGTGAAAGCATTAATCACTGTGAACTCATTTTCTCCTAATGCAGACACAGTGCATTGTTTCACAGGAATTCTGTTCCAAATAATCATTAATGTAGAGAGCAGAAGCTGCTGCCAGTGGACAGCGCTAATAAAATCTGTCAGAGCAAAGGCTGGTATAATGGGACTGTTAATGGTTGCTAGCAGGAGTTGGATCTTTCCTGGCTGTGGCAGAATGAAGGCAGGTGGAGAGGCAGGGGCTTTGCTGGAAGGACAGCCCCATCTCTCACCTCCTGAGGCGGCCTCTGGGGAAAAAAAACATCATGTCCGTCACAGCATTGCCAGGGCTCCGAGGCTGGGAGCACAGGCGCCAGCTGGGGGCTGAGGAGGGAGTCATGGGGTGACTGTGGGGGTGGCTCTGCTACCACAGCCTCCTCCTATGGGTCAGGGTGTATCCGGGCACTGGGTGCTGTGGGCATCCCAGAACTTTGCCTCTCCCTCTCCACATTGGGTCAGCAATGAGAGAAGAACGATATCACAGTAAGGGCAATCACAGCTAATGCTCACTACAAGTCTCCTGGGCCAAGGGGCCAGCCCTTTCCGTGCACGTATCTCAGTCCTCAGAGCAGCACCCCTAACACGTGTGCATTAGTAATTACCCCATTTCACAACTGAGGAAGAGGAAGTTCAGAAACTAGTCCGGGGCCAGATTCAAAAGTCGAGCCTTTAAATATCATGTTCCTTTACTGGAGGGAGAGACACAGAAGCTGTAGCCTAAAATCAGACTGAAACAGGAGGCAAGGTGTGACAGTGCACCTGGCAGTCTTTCCATTTGCTTATCCAACCAGTCAGGAGGTTCAGGACCAGCTTTGGACAGATTATATCAAAGCTATGGTTTGTACCAAAGGCTGTTTCTCTAGGCTTTGCTACTAAAATGTGGGCTCTCAGGGCCTTAAAGAGGCCTAACTGCTCTGTGCCACCCAACAGCAGCCTTGACTGGGGGCCCCCAGGAGGCCCTCTCCGCCCAGTAACACCCTATGCTTAAGACTTGTTCCTTCTCACCCCAACACTTGTCTTGTTTCCTGTCATCTAAATGTCTTTTTAAAATTTATTATTATTTTTTAACACTGTCTAAGTCTATATAATGGCTTGTCTCATAGAGGAGAGAGCACTGGAATAGGTTAGACTTTGTTGCTATCGCCAGCTCAAATTGTGTCATCTAAAGGTCTTGATCTGACTGTACCTTAGTTAGGTCAGATAAGGCAAGAGGGAGCTACTGCCTCCTGGGGCTGCCTCTAAGCACAAGCATAATGGGACAGGCAGCAAAGGCCTTCCAGAGCATAGCTGGGCATGGAGCATGGTCATGCGGGCGCTGTGGCCTTCCTAAACCCCAGGGACTACTGTAACCAAGGTGCTGACATCGCTGCCTCAGGACTCAGGAATGGGAATGGGATGGAGTTTGCAGGAAAAGGCTATGGATGCAAGAGGGATGAAAGAGGAATGACAGAAATGTAAAAACTGTAAAATGCTAACACTATTAGATATTCCCAATAAGCACAGAGTATGGCAGAAGGGCAAATTTAGTTCCCAGATCAGTTCCCACAACCAAGATGGGAGCAGATCTCTGTAGTCTTTCCACCTGAAAACACCACTATTACTAAAGGCTTATTTCCTTGATTGCATTATTTTAAAAAACATGTTAAGGGTTTGAAAGATGTGAGAGAAGACAGATGGTTATGAAGGAGAGGGTTAAGCAGGGAAGGAGTGGGGAGGGCATAGCGGGTTTTGGCGCCAAGTGCAATGGGGAATGCAGAGATGGGCTAAGACGTGTTCTCTGGCCCCCAAGATCTTACAAATACACATCACAAGTGCTAGACTGCATGGCACAGGATATAAATGCAGTTAGATTGGGTGAGAGCAATTAGCAAAAGGAAAATTCAGAGACAGCATCATGGAAAATTGCACTGGCTGTGAGAACATAGATGAATGTGAATACAGTACAGGGAGAGAAGACACGTTTCACACAGTTGAGGAATGAACGGGAAGTGTGAAGGTGGGAGCAGGCATGCTGGGTACAAAGAATAATGAAGGAAACAGCCTTGTTTCAGTGGAGGAGTGAGTGTGTGTGTGCACACATGTGTGTGCGTGTGTGCATGCATGCACGTGTGTGTATTAGGAGAGGGAAGCAGCAGGCAATAAACAGGACAAGATTGGGCAATGGCACATTAAAAAGAACCTTGGTAGCCAGACAAAGGAGTTTGGATGTGTATGATAAGCAAGAGAGAGCTACTGGAGGTCCTTGGGCATCTAAGGAATACGATCTCAGTTTTGGAAAGTTTCCCTGGTAGTTGTGGAAAAAGTAGAGGGGAGGGGGAAGAGAGAATTAGAAACACTAGGAAGTGGAGGCACTGACATGACTGCCATATTTCCTCCTGCAGCACACGTTCATACTCCCCTTTTCCCTGGTTGAAGTCATCCTCAGGCCACACTGCTATCCATTGAAGAAGAATGGACTCACCTTGTTGGCTGCTGCGAGTCTTGCTTACATTAGCAGGTAAGAATTGCAGAGAGAAAACCAACTTCAGCTTGTCATTCAAACCTCTGAGGAATATTCCAGAAGCATACTGTTCTGTAAGACTGCCTTTATATTGAGTTAATGGGGATTTAGCCATCTTTAAGTTTTCAAGTAAAAAGAATTTTGATTGTTTTTGATACTCATGGACACATCACAGCAAAAGAATACACAGCTGGCACAACACACACACATACACACATGCAGCAAGTCACAAGTTCCTCTCTCCTTCTCATGAAGAATTAATCATTGCAAAGCTACTACACATGTTACTTTCCCCAAGAAAATGTTGATCTTTGGTTCCACTTGCAATTAAATGTTTGAATAGCTGAATGATCCAAGGCATCTAAATATATTCCTTCTAAAAAGGCACGTGACAGTTGAGCATGCTAGGTGTGTTCCATTCCTGTTGCCTGCATCATTATGGGCTTATTTGCATCAACATCTGGCACTAGAGCTCCTAGAGGGCATTTGGGCAATTGCCCAGGGGCTTGCAGAACAGCCTCATGGAGTCATGCAAGCTCATTTAAGCAGCTGGCCTAGATTTTATCATTCAACCACCTGGCAACACTAATTCTCAGAAATACTGCCCAGTGATCTGTAATCAAGGGGAAGTGCTTGGTCTTCCACCCAGTGAGTGGAAACCCCTTTCCATTTTAGAGCCTTCTCATCCACTCCATGCTTTTCCTGAAAGAGGCATGCCAAGCATACTGCCTGCATATCAGAAGCTAATCATGACGTTCCTTCTCTAGTCTAGACTCACATAAACTATTCATATCTGACAAGCTGGGTAATCCCCCAATCCCTGTGTAGGGGAAAGTTTAATGGAATACAGTGCTCTGTCAGAAACCAGAAAGAGAACACGTTCCACAGGGGCTTGGGCCCCTAAGGCCAGCTCCATGGGCTTCATGAGCCTTTGTCTTAGAGCAAGTAAACTTCGTGCCAGAACTACTCAGATGATGGTTCCTTCCTTGCCTTTCTTTCCCTTTTCTGAAGCCTGCTCCTCCAACCCTGGCACTTTTTTCCCCTGAGTGTCCAAAGTCTTCCTTGCTTCCCTTGTCTTAAAGAAAGTACTTGCTCAGTCAATTACCCCAAGATTCCAGTGATCTACACTGTTCTCCAGCCTGGGGCCTTTGCATTTTAACAAAGGTCATTTTAGAGAATAATGCTTAAGTTGGGGACCTACTGGTAGTTGATGTTGGGAGCCCTGTGCTGGGAAAGATTCTCAGGCCCTACCAAAAGAAAATTGTGTTAGCACTTATTGTAATCGGCCAATAGCATGAGAATGGAGAGTAACAAGATATATGCCATATATTTGCCAAATCTGCCTTAACTCAAAGGAATAAACCCCTAAAGACAGAATACTTGGAACCTGGGATGGGGTAAGAGTATGTATCCATAATGATATGTCTGTTGTATGTTTTGGGAAGAAGAAGGGCAGTAGCTGGTTGATTACATGCATTTCTATACTCTGTTTTCTTTGGTTTGGTTTGGTGGACTTTAATCTTATTTACTCTTTCTTGCCAAGTATAACTTCTGGAGTTCATATATAAGATAGTACTTTTGATCTATTAACTTTTTCTACCTAAGAACTTGGAAGCTGATCACTGATCCTCAAATCTGACCCCAGAAACCAAGAAGGCGCAAGAGCACCACGGCCACTAGCATTTGGGGGGAAATTGCAGTGGTCATAAATGATGAGAAACAGTAGTCAAGAGGGCTTGGCTTGTTGGTGCCTGGGCATGTGTTCCGACAATGCAGGGAACTGGGCAGTTGGGGAGAAGAGGTACAACAAGTTGGGGGGGGGGTGGTCAGGTGTGAGTATGTCATAGGTCCATTCAGTTATTCACTGTGCTGAGTTAACAAGGACACAGGAATGTACAGGATACCATGCTGCCTCTCGGGGCTTTCTGGGAGAGAAGAAAGTACACACACAGTGGGAAGACAGGATGATGAGACTGTAATAGGGGTAAGCACAGGGCATTGTGGGATGCTGAGGACTGTCTTCTTAAGAAAAGAAAGTGTAAGCTGAGGCCCAAAGAATGAGTAGGAATAAGTCAAAAGAGGCATAGGAAAGACCTTTAGGCAGAGGGATCAGCATCTGTGAAGGGCTGGAGGAGCTGAGGGTGTGGCTGAATTGCAGGACAGGGTAAAGCTAAATCATGAATTCACATCAATGAGTTTGGACTTTTAAACTAGAGGGATTTTCTGTGGAAAATGTTTTAAGCAGAGAAATAAAATGATGTGGCTTAGGTAAGAAAGATGATTAAAAAGTTGATTTTGGCTGGAGTGTGAAAATTAAGGAGAAAAGCATGAGGAGACCAGTTGGTGGCATTTGTGAGACTTGGTAGTAGCCGGTTGATGGCAATATCAATCAATTTCAAATATAATTAGAGAAGGTGGGTTGGTTAAGGAGACTTAGAGACCACCTAGCGTTGGAGACCTGAAACCTCAGTGGGTTCAATGACATGCCCAAGGGCATAGGGCCAGGGATAATCAAAGCTGGGACTTCAATGCAGGTCTATTTCCAAATCCAGTTCTCTTTCCACTCTATGCACATGGCCAGGTATTTGTTCAGCTCACTGCATGTGCAAAATACATTCTTCTAAGTGCTGCAGGGGTGGGTATGCAAAAAAGCTTAACATGGTTCCTGCTGTCTAAAAGCGTTCATGATGTAGTGTCCAGCGCTGTGCTTGTGATGGGAAAGTGATGCAATGGAGCAAGTGGGAGGAAGCACCAGCAGAAATATGACTGGATGCACCCAGTGATTTGGGTTTGGACCTCCTTATTAATGAAGCAGTAAATCGGTATTTGGTCCGTCAGGCCCCTTTATTCCTAGATTTAATCAAATGCACCTGTATGTGGCCATGTTATACTGCACCACTGACGGAAGCTTCCCTATTTCTGTCCATTCCTTGGTTAAGGGAGCTCAGACTCTTTGCTGCCTGCTGTCTCCACCCTTACGCAATGCTCAGAGGCCCATGAACATTCATGGCCACAGGTGGTCATCAACAAGCTCCACAAACTGTGGATATCCATGGAGATGTTTTGGGGAAGTGGCTGTGGGTCAGCTGTTAGGCGTGCCTGTTTGGATGGTCAAATAGGGAAACGGTATAGCAGAAATGAGGTCAGGAATATGGGCCCGGGCCAGACAGAGCGTGAGAAACAAACACGAGTCAGAAAAATGGCAATAATTCTGAGCCAGGGAAGCATTTCGCCGCAGAAATCACATCACAATGACCTAAAAATAATTGCCGAGACCGTGGGGACTGCCTTACATGTGGAACTTGCTTTTTGTTATTTTTCAGATTGCAAAATTGGAGGCTGGCCCCTAAGTGGGAAAATAAAGCTTTGCAAAGTAGTAATAACTGCAAATCTTTCATTTCCTTTGGAAAGCATTAGTCACCTATAAATGTGGTAGCTCACTCACTCCTCCCTTCTCTCTCACCTCAGAATACCTCACCTAGCTCTCTCTGAGGCCATGGCGAGGAACAGGAAAATAGAAATGTTCCTACTGCTGGCTCTTATTCATTCTCTTTTTGAACAAATATTTCCCCTAACACAAGGCTGGTCTTGCTGGGAAAAGCAAAGTTATATAAGGCTAACCCAGCCTGTAGGGGTTTTGTAGTTAATAAGGGGAGATTAGCTGTGCACTCAAATTATAAGACACACAATGGGAAGTGATAAAATGTCAGAACAAAAACAAGGAGCCACAGAATCATGGAGGAGGAAGTGGTTACGTCTTGCTGGCCAGTGTGGAAAAGGTGTGCATTGGGTCTGGGTCCTGAAGGACTGGCTGGATTAGAGCTTCAAAAAATGGGAGAAAGTAGACAACACAGCATAGTCCCAAGGCCAAAGGACAACAGGTCACAGGACAATGGTCAGCAATTTGCTCTTACTGGAAGAAACTGAAAGGAAATCACCCTGGAACTGCCCTCGTAAGGAGGCTTGTGGATGGCAGGCTAAAAGCGGAGACATAGTTTAGACAATGTGAGATTTGATTGTCACTGTTGTTTATTTCTATGTCATGGAGGTGGGAGTGAGAAGTATTAGTGACATGGCCAGAGAATTATGTTTTCAAAAGGTATCTTGACAAGAGTGATTAAAATGGGTTGGAATGATGAGACATGGGAAGCAAAATAGAATAAAACAATATACAAATAAAAGTTATCTTGAACATTCTTTCCATATAGCTTAATCACATTGTTTTATTCTTTGTCCATGGTTTTTTCATAGTCCCAAAGTCATACCAGGTCCAAGTGCTCAGAGCACCTACCTTTACGGAGTTCTAATAATCCAATGAGTGCTCACACATGCCTGTGTGGTGCATAGTCCTGAAAACTGCTCTCCTACACAGACCGTAGAGCCACAACACCTAGTGTTCTGGGCCCAACATCACCTGGCTCCGCTTTAGGGTTAGTACTCCACCCCCATTGCTAACAATGTCACACTACCATTGCCCCTATGATGGTAGAAATAGAACAGTGCTGCTGGCCACTGCCACAGCCCCGGCTAGCCTGGAGGATATCACCACCTTGATATTGGTAGACCAGAAATCTGCTTATGCCCTAGTATTTCTGCTAGTGTGCAAGGTATTGCATGCCCAGTGCAACTGTTGCACAGATATGCAGCCATAAGTCAGCCTTGGGGAAGATATTTGCAAAATCACTTCTCAATAACAGTTTGTATGAGATGAGAGAGATGATTCTTTTCTTCTATACTGTGCTTACTGAGGTGACGACCACACCTGGCAGGGCACCTGGTACCTGGCAGGTTTAATAGTCCTCTAAATTACTGCACCCATTTACACATACACACTTCTATGTACAGACATCATACATCATATCCCCAGAATATCTTAAAAACTGCCAGAGGGCTGGGCTAAGCTGAGTTCCAGGGTCAGCCACCTGGCCATATCTAGCATTGACCATACCCTTCTACTCCCACTAGTGCAGCGGTTCTCAACCTGTGGGTCGCGACCC